GGATCTATGGAATAAGAAGCAAAATAACGTATATGAATATGTTTGTGATGGAATAACCATATCCTTTGCCTTGAAAGTCTGTCTTTTCAAATAAGTATTCTTCTCCAATGATTACTGTTCCTATCCAACGTTTTTGTTGCGAAAGGAAACGTTTCTGATAAAGCATTAAATTTAGCCACCACTTAGTAATATATATGTCGCTACATGGTGTTGTATCGAGCAAAAGGAAGTATAAAATACATGTTTGTTCATTCTATGTACACTGTACTAAAACCGCAAATCACGATGATACGATACGTTTCCAAGCTTTATTTAGCAAGAAACGGCAGAATAATGCATTTTGGTAAAGAAGGAATCATTAGTCTTGTTTCAAGATCTTGCGTAATGCCAATTGTGTCAGGGGTTGAAAAATGTCCTCTTCCCATTCTAACAGCGATCGAACCTTATTTCCATTTCAAAGTCATTTGTTACACTACGATTTGCAAGTTAATTGAATGAAATGTACCCACAACTCTGTTTTCCAAAGCCTAAGGCTGGAGCAGGAGACTAATTTGACATTAAAAAGAGATGTATTTTACAGACATTTCAAGCGGATGTAGTGTCTGGATCAGGTCGTTGTTAGCATTACATTGTATCTGGTGTCTTCTGGTTATAGTGTCTCTATCACAATTGGTAGATAACATACCACAAACAAGTCTTATGAAAATCGAAAATCCCATTTCAAAAGAAAACTCTCAATCTATCAATTGCTTAAGTACGCGTAAGACTTCTACAATTACTCCTTAAAACCAACATGACGTTTGGAATGCCTTTGCTTGCGTAACTAGAGGAATATTTTCACGTTCGATTTAAATAAAAGTTTGAGGGTATCTGAAGTAAACAATGTGCACAGGAAATATGCAAATCAGTATGCCATTTTTCAATTACAGTCGCAATGTTAAAACAAATCACAAATTGAGTTGGATAGGCTTTATTGACATTTAAATACAGTGGTGTATAACACTTCGATCAATCGGGAAGGCTGTTTATGCAAAATTAAACCGTGATAAATGAATAAATGTAAGACATCGTTTTTATATATCCGTTTTGGCATCCTTATATCTATTTGAAAGACAAATAGTTTTCATATGTTAGATTCGTTTTTGGAATTGATTTTTTTTCGACAAATTTGGAATAAGTATCTCGAGAAAAATAAATTGCGGTTATCAGAAATAACCAAGAATCTCCTGGTCAATACTTGAAATGGTCAAGTTGAAATAAGAACTAAGTTAATAGATAACACAATCAACAAACATATAGATAGGAAATTTTACTATTTAAAGTAATGTATTCACAATAGTCATTTTAAAAGTTTGTTTCGCATCAACGCAAACTATATGGAACCGAGATCAAAACATTATAAAGTAAATGCTCTTGCATGCTATTAATTTCTCATTTGTACAACTTTCTAACTATCAATCATCCAGGAAATAAGGCCAACAACCTAGAACATTTTAGTAATTAGTGGGCATGCTCCTTAACCCTACCTCAGCATTTAGTGCAATCCCATGCATAACGCTAATAAAGGCCTATCACAATATTAGTGATGATTTTGTACTTTTATTTCACTAAATTATCTTCCACGTTTCTCCCTTTGGCATTGCTAACCAGATTCCACCATTTGCGAGTTCTCTGTTAATTGGAACTACAATTACGTGAACGTTAACATAGCTATTTGTATATGGACTGAAGCTGGAATGTTACAATATCCATGTTGTATATGAATGGGAAATTTACTTAGACACTACATGAAAGTACCTGCCGACGTTCACGTTAATTGTTGACGATAATTCAAGCTTTTTCTAGATCGCGTGTGCGCTTTTAAACCAACTTATTGCGGCACTCGTTACATATTTTGATTAAAAGTGTATATCCATCATTTAAGGATACATGCGACACATTTTTTCTTTGCAATGGGTTTATTTAATTATTACGAATGATCATTTTGACTTTGATAATAACATTACAAATTGAGCTGTGTAAGAAAGCATATATTTTTATTCTGACGGAAATATTACCCATTAGTGAGGGTTTGTTACCAAAAACGTCGAATCAACCGAAAAATTTCTCTTACACTAATTATACTAGCTGTTGAGGATAATTAAACAAGTGAATACTGTTTTTAATAAGTTCTCTCATGCATCTTATATCTTTTCCAGTGTGTCGATATCTTTTTGAAGCCAAGTGGATAAGATTAACAGACACACGCATCTTAATATGACGGCAGCGAAGAAACAGGTTTAAATCAGTGTCCATATTCTTTTATCTTAAGCTCGCATAGAGGATGGGAAACACTGATAACGATTCAAAGCTGGGATTGCGTACGGCATTGACGAGGTCTCCATAACGAGCTGACCACTCGATAAGAAGGGGATTGCGGTTTACCATGTGTTACACACCGATATATATGTCTGGCTGTGTACTGTTCGTCGCGATAAATCCTATTTTATAGATGTCCGCCGTACTTAAGACCGTGTCGCTTATATTATTTCGAACAACTAGGCGTTCAGACCAAAAGTGATTAACATTGATCGAGTACAGAAAACCGCTTTACATTGCATTTTAAAGATGTATTTCTCTCATAGTAGGTGCAATGAAACACCGGCTTCTTTCTTAAGAAGACATTATACATGTATCACCTTTTGACAAAATTGAGCTACAATCGAAAGATGACAGTTAATATAAACTTTATTTCATTCCAAATTAAGTTGCATTACATCAAATAACATACAAAGTACAGAGGAATGGGATCCGGAAACAAGTTGAAATAACTTATATAAATCCGTTTCCTAGAAGGTATCTCATTAATTTAGGGCATGATGGTATAGTTACTGATTTCTATGGAAAGAAATATAAACACTTAAAACAGTAGCTTACTTTTAAACGTAGTTCAAGGGATATTTGAAATGAGTGTAAAAGAAAAGGGGTACAGGGGG